ACATCATGACTATATATGGGCATAAAACAGCATTTTTTAAAAAGAAAATTTGATAGTGAGGAGAGCTTTAGAACATTCCATTATCGTTGCTGTTAAAACTTGGGAACTTTGTAAATTGTGCAACGTACGTGATGACAAGCTGGATTTTCCACTGATTCTTCTGGAAATGCAGAAGCAATGCTAAATAGAGCCTAGGGGTTTAACAATGTAATATTACACAAGGGCATAGTTTGATTACTGGAAGATCAGGGACTCACAAATCTAGTTCTGAATTGTGTAACGTGACTGTCAGACTTAATTTGTATGTGATTATCTTTGAATATTTCTTATAATTCGGTTGAAGCGTGGGAGCTAGGATAGGCCTTTTAAACATTGTCGCCTAGCAATCAAACACGGTTTGTCGACGTCTTTTAGTCCAAAGAAAGCAAACAATTGGTCAAAATCATCCTTAAAATTAACAAACATCAAGGATCATGCCATTGATTGTTTGTTATAACATGACGTCATGTCATGATTTAATCTTTATTTAAATTTTTATATTAGGTCTATGTAATTTAACAGATAATTTCAATACTCTAATAAAAGTGGTTTGTTGGTAGAATGACAAAATTCTTATTGAATCAGGCCAGTACGCTGGGTTGTAAATGGGGAGGGGGATTGTGGGGGTCTTTTTCAGGAAAACGGAACAAAGTTGGATGGGGGTGGGCAGCTTGTTGCTTAAGGCTCCCACTGGGGTCCAGAGATCTGGGTATTTTTATCGCTATTTCAATGACATTTAAGAGGACGTAAGTAGGTGTTTTTAATGCAAATATTCTCAATATTTATACCTGTAATTTGATTTGGAATTGGCAAAGCTATAAATTCGAATCAACATTAGGAACATTCAGTCTGTATACTTACATCAAAATGAATAATAAAAGCGCGTTTGAAAATGAATTGCGTTTAGAAAGTTGATTGATTAAAAAAAAAGCTCACCGACTGGATGTTTTCGATTAAAATGACCGCAAAATACAACTTTGATACTACACTATTACCGTATATTAACACTTGATGTGATTGAAATTAAATATTCCCAATCTAGATGGACCTCCAGTACTGGATGAGGGGAAAATGGTGGTTCGTTCGAGCCCCCAACTCAGCAGCGTACGGGCCTGTGAATGGATGGAACATTGACCGTAATAACGAATTATACACTATAGGCCTATCACAGAGCTATTGATATGAAGTTAACTACATGGGGTGCGTCATATCATATTTAGGTTCAATATAATAGGCCTGTTAATTTTTAACATAACTTGCAATGCATTTTCTAATTTCTACGACCATGTATTTCAGCATTAGCTTATATTTTGACCTCTTCCCTTTGTGCATCGTCTTGCTCCGGGCTAACACATTTTGAAATAATATATCAGTATTTGAATATAAGAGAGAAAGTGCAAGTGTTATAAGCAATATGAAGCGGTTTTACACTGCCGTAATTTGAAAATATATAGATTCATTGAAGTTTAAGCAGGAGAAAAAAATCACACAGAAGATATAATCAAAAATCACTAGCCTCGTATACACACCCGAGGCAATCGTGGCTACGTCGGGTTGATGCACTGTTCCTATCATAATACTTTCGCTGTAAACTAGTTTACATCTCACTCAACTTATTCATAAAATATAGATCATATTTCATACAGGTAAGTTCTCGTTTAATCTTTCTATTTAAGTGGTAATATTGAAGAGAATAGATTTACAAGACTAGGACTTGTTGATTTTAATAATCACATACTCTAGCCCTAAAAATCATGAGTGGGCAAAGTAATTGTGGAAGCATGTCGTAAGAGCAAAGATGGACTTCTAATCGAATGGTAATGAATCCAGATCATTTATTATGTGCTTAATAACAGAAGATAGAATAACAATATTAATGATGATAATAAATATATTAATAACAATGATATTAATATTAATAATAATAATAAAAATATAAAACACATATACGATAATATTGATTAATAATACAGTATACTGTAATAATTACAATAATCATTGTCATATGATTAGTTATATTATTATTATTATTATCATTATTATTATTATTATCATAATATCCGTCATCATCTCCATTATTATTATTATTTATTATCACATACATATATATATACATATATATATATGTATATATATATATATATATATATATATATATATACATATATTGAAAATATAGAACTTGTAGAACTGTGTATAATCACTCTACAGACATTATCACGTGTGATCACTGTATGTTACTAGTATTGTCAACTACATTTATTCATTATTTATTCATATATATATATATATATATATATATATAAGTTTAAATAACCATTAGGATTCTGACGTCAACAGAATGGATAGACGCATCACTGAATTGTTTACTACACGAATATATCAATAGTTCTGTTTTGAGAAGTACTCTCTGTGCTAATTCAGAAGACACGTAAATGACGTTGTCAAAGGCTACGGTATTTCGTGACGGGTTTTAATATTACATTTTGAAATTTGATATAAATAGAATGATGCGACATTGGGTGCGCGTTTGACATGCAAATTAACGAAAATTACATAAATGAATCTATCTACGTAGTAATATTGCAAGATGAAATTAAATTATTTATTAAACAAACCTTTTTCTTTGATAACCGACACATTAAAGAAAAAAAGAGAGAAAATAAAACCACCATATGTTGTTGGATTAGGATTTATAACAGGACTTCGTTGAGATGCATGCAAGAACAGAAAGCGAATCCAGGACAAATGTATCGGAGGTGATTTTAGTTGTACAAGCATGCTCCAATGTATAACAATATGGGAATTTTCTTTGTTATTAAAACGACATTTTTATTTTTCATTATTGGAATTATTAGTGAATTAATGTGATATATTTCATATGGTGTTATTTTTATTGTGATTTCGACATGTCTTAACTAAGTTAACCAAACTTAATCAGCGTGATAAGTGAGAGTGAAGAAGTGGGTGAGGGTGGGTGTGGGAGTGTAGACCTACTGTAGGTGTAGATGTGTGCATTATTTTATTAATTACATTATGGCGCACACAATTGGTCCACCGACAGTCTGCAGATACATTTAATCTCTGTTGCTACTTGCCCGACGCAATGCCAATTCGCTAACCGTCGGTGGCGTCGCAGTGTCATGGAATTCGTTGGCTGACGACGCCGATCCAGGTCTGTGAATATTTTATTTTTATTTCCCATCACTTTTTTGTACGTTTAGTTTTTATTTGTACTGTAAAGTCTCTGATGGTGTGTTAAATCCCAAAGTAAACGCGTTGCATTACCGAATGCGTTTTACTAATTCAATAATCGTTTGTAGTTTAGTTATACTTACCATGCTTTGTTGACAATACCTACAGCAAACATCTAACAAAGGTACATTAGGTTTAGGAAAAGTAGCACGACACTATGAAGGTAATGAATGTTAGAGTTTGTACAACATTACATCATAACTACTTAATTCCATAATGTTGATTCTCATAACAATGTCCCTACAGCTATATTGGTAACTCTTTGCTCCTGAATAAGAACTAGTCCTATTTCATTTACTGAACTGTATCGCCGACCATAGCGCACCAGCAGAGAAATAGGCCCTGAAATGGATTCAATGAGGCACTTAAAAATAACGGAATGTGGAGTAAACGATATGTAAATGAAACGGATATTGATTGTTAAAAAAAAACCAAAAAAAAAAAACCAATTACACAAAATACTTGGATATTATTATCATTATTATTATTATTATCGTTGCATATTATTACATATTGCCATTGTTTTTGTTGCTGATGTACCAAATCGATTTTGCATACCGGTACTGGTTGTACCGTAATAGATGTATTTTATAAATTATAATATGTAATATATGTTAGAATGAAGCCGGTTTTCTATCATGTATAATTGATTATTATTGGTAATCGTATTCCCTCCGTCCATCCTACTATGTCAGACTTGCTTTCATGAAACTCCCTTTATTATACCAAGGATTTAATTTCTTCAAATTAAGTTTGTAATAAAGTGTCTCTATGCAGATTTCTTTCTCTTTCCTGGTCATTGCTTCGGCCTCCCAATTTCTCGTAGAAATAATGCATTTTTCCATTCTGCTTTTATTTATCTTCAAAGAATCACTACCAACTGAAGTCAGTGATATTTGTCTTTATGCTTGCCCTAAGATTTCCCCGCCTTATTTAATGTTATATATTGTTAAGTGAAAGTAAATTCTATTTTGTCCTACACCAGATGATCAGCCAGACTTTAGTTTTGTAAATGTTATAATGAATGTTAGAGTTTGTACAACATTACATCATAACTACTTAATTCCATAATGTTGATTCTCATAACAATGTCCCTACAGCTATATTGGTAACTCTTTGCTCCTGAATAAGAACTAGTCCTATTTCATTTACTGAACTGTATCGCCGACCATAGCGCACCAGCAGAGAAATAGGCCCTGAAATGGATTCAATGAGGCACTTAAAAATAACGGAATGTGGAGTAAACGATATGTAAATGAAACGGATATTGATTGTTAAAAAAAAACAAAAAAAAACCCAATTACACAAAATACTTGGATATTATTATTATCATTATTATTATTATTATCGTTGCATATTATTACATATTGCCATTGTTTTTGTTGCTGATGTACCAAATCGATTTTGCATACCGGTACTGGTAGTACCGTAATAGATGTATTTTATAAATTATAATATGTAATATATGTTAGAATGAAGCCAGTTTTCTATCGTGTATAATTGATTATTATTGGTAATCGTATTCCCTCCGTCCATCCTACTATGTCAGACTCCCTTTATTATACCAAGGACTTAATTTCTTCAAATCAAGTTTCTAATAAAGTGTCTCTATGCAGATTCCTTTCTCTTTCCTGGTCATTGCTTCCCCTCCCAATTTCTCGTAGAAATAATACCGTGGTTTTTAGACATATGAGTTCACGAACAAATGCATTTTTCCATTCTGCTTTTATTTATCTTCAAAGAATCACTACCAACTGAAGTCAGTGATATTTGTCTTTATGCTTGCCTTAAGATTTTCCCCGCCTTATTTAATGTTATATATTGTTAAGTGAATGTAAATTCTATTTTGTCCTACACCAGATGATCAGCCAGACTTTAGTTTTGTAAATGTTATATGTTTATTGTATTTTATGTCTTCTGGAAAAAATTTAATTGAATTGAATTGAATTAAAATATTATTCATATACATGTATACTATTTTGTATGCTAAAATAAATAAAATACATAATAAAAAAATGAAACAATTCGGTTGAGAAATCAATGTTACACAAACCTCAAGAGGCAATCAATAATATATATATATATATACATTTATTTATATAAGCATAGCTTTATTATCGTTCTCAATAATAATTAAGCTAGAAAAATAATCCACATACCATCCGATTATTATCACCTAATATTTAGACGTGGACCGTTATTAAAGCGAGCAAATCACGAGAATTCCACCAGTTTAAATAGATAGGTTACACATTGTGATTGGCTGACGCGTATAAAATGTCGCTATAACAAGAGATGGACGTTTAGTCAATATTAATATAGTCCCATCATCATTGATGTTGAAAGCATTCTTAAAAGGAAAATAATTTTTCAATATTTATCTTCGCAAAAGTCTTGTTAAGCGTACTAATGACTAAAATATAAACATGATGACACGAGACTTTGTTACCATAGTAATCACAATGTCAATCATAGTGTGATGTTGAATGATTTTTTCAAGATCTCTTCGTTCAAAGGACTACATCAAACCAAATGTCACATTTTTACATTAATTCTGAAAGATAAAAACCACACACAAACAAAAACAGGAATTATATTAATAGAGAGCGTAATAAATATATATTTTTTTGTGATATGCCTATCTGTTTTTGAATACTGTAATCGCATTTCGCGCGTGTCTGTTGCTAGCTACTTTTAAAATAATTTATCCGTAATTAAGTATCGGCACGTAAATTCATTATCACCTTGCGTACGTTCTTCCAGCTGTTTGAATTGTGCCGACATTGTATAGCTTGTCACCTATTCGTAGTTGAGTTTTCTTACGTCTTGATAACCTGAAAATGTATACCGGTAGCATTTTTATATTAAGAGGTGCAAGCATGTCTGTTACATAC